ATAATAAAAAAAGCCTCCGTACAGTGAAAAGAAAGTTGATCTCTTCGTACAATGCAGAGAGATTTTCGTCTTCTTCTTTTTATCGATAATTTTTTTCTTCTTTTTTTCTCTGCTTTCCCTACTTTTCTCCTTTTTTTTACGCAATATCTATTTTTCCCTACTTCTTCACGTAACATCTATTTCCCTATTTCTTTATGCAACATCTATTTATCTTTATTCTCTCCTACAACCCTATTTCTTTTTCTCTCAAACTCCTCTCTCTCTTTCATCCAAATTGTTAAATTTCTGTTCAATTCATATTTTATCTCTGAACATGTCATATATTGATACTATGCTTCAGGTGTCTGTGGTGGATCTTCAGGTCTCTCAATCCAATAAGAGATTTTGACCTAATTTTTTAAAAACTTTTACGATTTCATAGTAGAAGAAGCCTCGTGCTGGATGTTTGGTTTTCATTGATGATTATGTATTTAAAATTTTGGAAATTTTATCATACTCTTCTTGCAGTTTTCGTAATAAATTTTCTGAATATTAAGCTTGAGTTTTTGACTTTTTACAGCTCGTTGGTTGTAAGATGTAGATTCCTCTCGAAGATGGTTTTTGACCATGGATTTTTTACAAAGGTATCTAAGTTAGTTTTTCATCTTTTACCTCAAGCCTTAAAAGATTGTTTCTAATATAATTTTTATCTATTTTCCGCTTGTATAAAATACATACCATAATGAATGTGTTTACTATTTTCCTCATTTAATCTACTTTATTTAGTGAGCAATGCTTTTCATTTGTTAGGATGGCTTTAAAATGGGAAAATCATTGGGAAATACACTTGAACCGATTGATTTGATGCACAATTTGGCTTTGATGCAGTCAAATATTTCTCTCTCAAGGAGGTGGAATTATTCGGTAGTGATGGGGGACTGCTCAGATGACCATTTTATCAATATTATTAATGCACATTTTGCAAAATTGGTATTTTTTTCTGGTCAATTTTATAAACCCAATTGCATTTCAGATTCATATTTGTTTAGATTCTTGAACTTATGACATATTTTTTAAATCCTTTATATATTTGCATTTGTAGTCAATGAAAAAGGACAAATTGAGTTGGGTATTGTTCTTATTTAGGTAATGAGACTAGAACTTGTGCTCGTGTTTTTTTATTTATTTGTCTACAAGAAAAGAACTGTCTATATACACTTGACAGAAAGTTAATAGTAGAAATTCGGTTTCCTTATGAGCTAAATTATGACTAATGTAATTATTCTGTTTTTAATGATAGATTTATTATATACTTTGACTTTTTTTCCTTCTATTTTTTAATTATTTTTTAATCTTTCTTATCTTGTCTCAACACCTCTTCTTATAATCTTTTTTTTTTACCTACAAAATTTTCTACTTTTGTTTATCCAAAATTATTATAGTCCTTCATTTGGGAGACGAGATATTTTTACTCTTGAGATTTTTTATTTTTTACAGATGAACGAATGAACACTTCTGCTGAAATAGCTTTCATATCACACGCCTAAGATTTTGGAATTGTAAAGGTATATTTTTTAAATTGCATTTTCTTAATCATCTACAACGCCTTTAAGTTTCTTTGTTATGGGTGAATATCAGGTTTTTCATCCATATATCAATAAAATACTTGTTTACTTTTTGGACTGGCTATATACTCTATGAGAAATATGGAAGAGTTGCGTCAATGCAATTATAATTTTTTGCTTCCCGAGGCAAGCATGCCGAACAATTAACGGTTAGTTAAATTTACATTGCAATTCTGATATCAAGTATTAGCAAGGATGGATTACTCCAGTTAGTAAATGGAAGATAAAAGTTGTGTGATTTTTTGTTTTCAAGGTACCTCATTATTTCATTGAATGATTATCGATATTTATAGCAATTTTTTCAATTAAAAGTATAAAGAAATGAACAAAAAAGTGAGTAAATGGTATACTAAATGAAGTAAACTTTATATTTAATGTTGCACAAAGTGGATGCTTCTATTTCATTTTCTTGTCCACGTGCTTTATGCTTTTTGTTTAATTCAATAATTTTAAGAATTCATTTCTCCATGGAGATTCGATTATTTAAGTTAATGTGTGTTTTTACGATGTTTTACTATGAATGAGTGACATATATCATGAAATTACCTTTTCATTGTCGAATATGATGATGGTGTTGAATATGTTGTTGCAATAATTGAGTAAAATGTTTTGGCATCCGCATTTGTTCAACTTTTTTACAAACACTAGTCTATGTTACATGCGATGCACGAGTTGTGCATGAATTATGATTTGATTAGCGTATGTATTAAATATGTTTGAAAATATATTGGAAAATAGAATTATTGGTAAGGAGTTAACCAGTGAATAATTGAGATAATAGTATACATATTGATGTGTTTGATTGTGATTTGTAAATTTGTAAATTCATTGCAATTAATCATGTGTTTGTATTACAGTCAATGATAGATAAGAGAGAATAAAAATTAACTTCATTACCATCATTAATTACAGAGTATAGCCAAAATAAAAAAAATAATGACTGGTTTTCGAGATGGATGATGTAGGGATTACATATACATCATTTGTCATTACTTTTTTTGTTTTGCAGTTTTTAATCAGGAAATTATACATACCTAAAAAAATAGAATTTCAAAATCAAATTTACAATGAAGACAAATTTCACAAATCGAAATAGCAAAAAATTTACAAAACCACACAGCACTCTTGTCAAAAGGTTGGTTTTGCGGAAAATATTTCGACTACCATTTACTCCAGTTTTTCTTTTTGAGCAAGTGGATTTGAGTCTGAACTCATGTTTTCATCACAAGCCATTTTTGAGCTGGAACTGTCATTGGATTTGAAAAGGGCTTTTTTCGCTAGAGGTGCCCAATTTTCTTGATAGTCTGCACTAACATCTTTCCCAACATTTTTCCCAACTTTTGTAACCTGACTGTCAACGTTTGTTTGAATTTTTGGTTCAAGACTTGCATGATCAATATTTGCTTGAATTTCTTTTCCTGGACTTGGATGGTCAAAATCTATTATAGATATGATATCAAATTTGTAACTTGATGAATTAGGTTCATTTTGCGATGCTTTCAAGTAGAAAACTCGTTCAGTATCCTGCATTTTTTTAATGGTTGCTTCGAAATTTGTCTTTGAACCATATGTTAATTTTAAATTGTATTAATATTATTCTACTAAAATATGTACTGAAAGGCAAAATGTTTGAGACAAGTTAGATTTCTTAAAAATTTGGTTTCCTCCATCAAAGACTCTGAAGTTGTAAATAATAGTTTCTCAACCGGTTCACCAATTGCATTTGCATTGATTGATCCCGTGACATCTGAAACCTACACATATGCTCTAGCTCTAAAGTGAAAAAGAAATTAGTATTAATAGATGTAAGAGTAATAAAGAGAAGTAGAAAGGTGTAAAAAATGAAAAGTAATTAATTGTTAGTGTATTTTATCAAGGAATAGCTTTGGAATTGGGATTTTTGCAAAAAATACAAAGATATGTTTCTCCAAAATCAACGTTCGACCGTCTAAAACAGTTGTTGCAGGCCATGTACCAGGATTTGCTATCAATTTTATCTGTTGTTGCTGTGCCGTTTACCCAATAAAACTTTCGCCGTTACAGTATGGATATACTAAGAGAAATTACAAGGAAAAATAAATAATATGATTGAGTGTATCTTGTCTTGTAATATATATTTCTATATTAGGAAATAAATAGAGATTGAATAGCATACGTAACCTTAATATTACCACTAGAAGGCGCCCCTGAAGATTTTGAATAGGAGTGAATTTACTTCGTACAGGCGGAGAAAGATTCGTGGGGCTTTTATCCATGTATGATTTTTTGAGCACAAAATCATCTATTTTAATGGAATTTGTTCTTATCATAATCAAAAGACATGAAGATAATTAGTAACTCCAATAATAATATATGGAAAAATAATTGAGAGGGAGAAAAAAAAAGAATAATAAAAAACAGCAT